CACACTAAAATTAAAACGTTGATACTGAACGATTTACGCATTGTCATGGGTTGGAACTTGTTACCAGGGGGCTTCTGGGGTTGCTGATTACGAATCTGATGTCAGATTTTCAAAATTCAAAATGGCGGTTAAGAGTTTCAAACAAATCCAATCATTTTTTTTAATATTGGGCAACATTTTGGATCCCCCATTTTGAATTTTGAAAATCTGACATCAGATTCGTAATCAGCAACCCCAGAAACTCACTGGAAACGTGTTTTAACCGTTGACAATGTTTTAAACGTTCAGTATCAACGTTTTAATTTTAGTACTTTTTTTAAATTTCATCGCCATATTGGATCCGCCATTTTGAATTTAAAACAAGTAAGAAAGTCTAAGTTCGGGCGGCGCCGAACATTAAATACCCGGCGCAAGTATTAAATATATGTTTTCCACCTTTCCGAAAGCTACCGCTACATGATAAGCCGGGGTGTATACAATATTTACTGATTTATCGAAGATTTTGTATTTCTCGAAATTACCGTTATATGGGATGTGGGCGTGGTTATTGTCCGATTTTAGAAATTTTCGGCCAGTTGGTATGCTGTGCCAGGAGCAACAACTGTGCCAAGTTTGGAAGAAATTGGTTTAGCGGTTACCAAGATATACACATGTAACCATAAGTGGGCGTGGCTACGCCCATTTGCCAAAATTTTGTAATATTCTTATTTTTCGTCTAAAACTCATTGCAAATATCAATTTTGAGTGAATTATCTTCAGTAGTTACTAAAATATCGCAGTTTTCGTATTTCTGAAAATTACCGTTATATGGGAGGTAGGCGTGGTTATTGTCCGATTTCGCCCATTTTCAATACCATCCGTCCTACGCCCAAAAGAAGTTCACGTACCAAGTTTCGTTAATATATCTCAATTTTTACTTGAGTTATCGTGTGCACGGACGGACGGACGGACGGACGGACAGACAGTCACCGCTTAATCGATTTCTCTTTTCATTCTGATCATTTATGTATACATTTGTCTATATCTATCTCGATTCGTTTTGCCTGTTACAAACAACCGTTATGTGAACAAAGTTATAATACCCTTGTGCACAAGTGCGCTCGGGTATAAAAATTGATTTCAGATTCGTAGTCGGCGACAAAAAAAACTCTCGAGTGCCGGGTTTCGAACAAAGCCAATCATTTTTTAAAAAATGGACCGCCATTTTGGATCCGCCATTTTGAATTTCGAAAAACTTACTCCAGATTCCTAATTAGCAACCCCAGAGACCCTCTGGTAACAAGTTCCAACCCATGACAATGCGTAAATCGTTCAGTACCAACGTTTTAATTTGACTAGTGTTCTTTCGAGAGCATATTTTCGGTAACTAGACCCATTCTAATTGTCCAAGACANTACTCCAGATTCCTAATTAGCAACCCCAGAGACCCTCTGGTAACAAGTTCCAACCCATGACAATGCGTAAATCGTTCAGTACCAACGTTTTAATTTGACTAGTGTTCTTTCGAGAGCATATTTTCGGTAACTAGACCCATTCTAATTGTCCAAGACAGGTGTGTAATTAAGGGAAAGTTCCCCAATAATACCAGAGTAATTATATGTAAAAACCAGATTTTTAGCTGCATTTTAACATGTCAAGAAAATAAAAAAAATGGAGAACATCAGCGTTTTTATAAAAAACCGACCAGCGCGATCTGTAAGAAAACTTTTTTTCAAAATAAAAAAATACGTGTCTCTTTTTTTATCACAAATAACAATATTCTGATGTAGCGTTTATGAATTTCCAAAAATAGTGTTTTTATGAGTCACTCTAAAGTACATACATATGTTTGAACATTAGGGTGTGTAAATTTTTTTTCGACTATGCGCGTATATCATTGGAGGGTTCTACGTGTAATTCTAAGCAAATTTGCCGAAAAAACAATGGGTCTAAAATCAATTTGGAGTTTGCCAAACTGCGAAAATAGGTTTCGAGGAAAATGTGAAAAGGTTGCGCCCTCTGGTGGAAGTTTTAAGGAAAAGATAAATCCAGAAATGGATTCCTCATACTAAAACATTCTTTATATCATGTTTTTATAAAAAATTTAAGCACTTTTTTACGACACTACAGCAAAAAACTAAGAAACCTATTTTAGAAATTTGGCAAACTCCAAATTAATTTCAGACCCATGGTTTTTTCGGCAAATTCGCTTAGAATTACACATAGAATCCGTCTGTGCCATACGCGCATAGTCGAAATATCTCCCATACAAATTTACCCGCCCTAATGAACATAGATTTACACAAACTTCAAATGGCGCCGAAATGGAAAGGTGATTTTTGACAGACGTTGAAGCACAATCTTTAGTCTAAGCTACAAAGAAAGAAAATTAATCGATAACTGGAAAGATTTGAATGTAACATAAGGGCTCTAAGGAGAATTGTGATAAATTCCGTATGAACCTTTCATATTAACAAAGTTTTACTTTCATTGTGTTCAAATTACACTGTGCAACAGCATTTTTGGGGTCGCAATAATTCCAACGCAGGAAAGACATTTTTTTGCATGGCCATTTTAAAATTGCAATATTTTGCCTAAGTGTTAGTTAGAATAAATGAAAAAAAGAGTTAAAATAGATATCTGAGGGAAATGTGTTGTTTCGGGACATATAGTAAAATTTTAATTTTGTAGAACATTTTAACCCCTTATCTCCCTCACAATAGGGTCGTTTTGGCCCTTTTTTTAGAAAGTTCGAATAAAATGGCATTTCCAAGGTCGCTGGAGGGTTAAAATCTTCTAGAAAATTGTTTGCCACACAATTTCACTACGGGTCCTCTCAAATAATATCTTTGTACAAAGAATCTGCAATCCACAGAAAATAAAAAAATCATATATCCCCTTGAAATATGGGCAATTCTCAATTAGTTCGAACTTTCGCATGACTCGACAGTTTTTATTCGGATACATAAAAAAACAGTATATATAATACCCTAAAAGCTATGACAGACGGCAAAGCTTATGCATATAATCTGGCACACATATGCACATAATAATTTTGACATAACAGACGGCAGTTATGTGGATAAACGAGTCGCAAGGTCGTGGGTTCGAGTCCCACGGCCAATTGAATTTTCATTTATTTCGTTTTCATTCTTTTTTTTATAAGTTCTATAATTTTTTTACGTTGCTTTCAGTTAGTTGTTGTTGACTTTTTATTAAAATTCAACTCTAAAACTTTAAATTCACTAATAGTAAAATTAAAAATGTGATATAAAACAAAGCAAATGAAAACAAAATAAAGTAAAATTAAATATATAGATCAAATAAAATAAAAAAAATCTTACTAATATTATAAATGTGAAAGTTTGTATGTTTGGATGTTTGGGAAATCATCACGCGGAAACGACTGAACGGATTTGCATGAAATTTGGTACTAGAGGTACTAGAAATTATGCGCTAGATTGGTTAATAGGCTATTTTTTTAAGAGTTGCCACCTGTTAAAAACGTTTTATTTATTTAATATGCGGGAAGGACTGAATGGATTTGCATGAAAATTTGCACACAGATAGCTTGTGACCTAGATTGGAAAATAGGCTACTTTTCTTAAGAGTTGCTACCTGTTAAAAAAGTTTAATTAAATTAATACGCGGAAACGACTAAACGGATTTGCATGAAATTTTGCTCACAGATAGCTTTAGACCCAA